CAAGTCTCTGTGTTGCTCATAACAATAGGATAAGCTGCTTGTTCCTCATTCATTGGATCTAGTGGGAAGCTTTTGCCTCTCATTTTGATTCTGAAGACTTCCTTATCATTGGCATCCTTGATTGGACATCACTTATCTTCAAAGATGACTTTAAATCCCTTATCAAGTAACTGTCCCACACTTAACAAGTTTTGGTCAATATCAGGTACAAACAAAACATCAGTAATTAGTGTAGTACCTGTGCAACTTTCAATTGCTACAGTTCCCTTTCCTTTGACAGTAATGTGCTCACCATTGCCAATTCTGACTTTTGATACCTCTGATCTGTCTAGCTCTCTGAAAATCTCTTGATCATAGGTCATGTGATTGGTATAACCACTATCCACTAGCCAACATTTACTTGAGTTGTTGCTTGCAAAACAGGTTGCTACAAACAACTGTTCTTCCGCCTCTTGCTGGTTTGCAACTTGAGCCTCATTCCTCTACTGAAAATTGCTTTTGCAGATTCTCTCATGATGCCCCAACTTGTTGCACTTAGCACACTTAACATCAGGTCTTCTCCAACACTTGAAAGGTGGATGAACATTTTTGCCACAGTGTCTGCAAGGAGAAAATTCTTTGTTGTTTCCTCCACTACTGTTTCTGGTGTTAGCAGCTGCTTCTGGTGTGCGAGAATTCTTCTTTTTTGTTTTTCTTTTTCTTGCCTTTTTCTCCTTGGTTGATTTTCAATTTAGCTTGCAATGCTCCCTCCACAAAACCTTCAGCCTCATTATTCTTCTTTGTTCTTGGGCCTGCAAAGCATTTAGAAGTTCTACCAAGCTGATTCTTGACAGATCTTTAGCATTCTCCAAGGAAGAAATAATAGCTTTAAATCTTTCAGGGATAGGTTCTAATATTTTCTAAACTATTCTTGAGTCAGAAAATTCATAACCAAATAATCTTACCTTGTTGACAATGCTAAGAAGCTTACCAGCTTATTCTTTGATTGTCTCTGACTCCTTCATTTTATGCATCTCAAATTCTCTGACTAGATTCAGCACTTGCATTCCCTTTATCCTCTCATCTCCTTCATATTCATTCTTGAGGAAATTCCAGATTTCAAATGTTGATTTCATGGTCATAATTCTAGTGAAATTGCTGGTGAGACAGCAGCAAACAAAGAAGCTTTGGCCTTTGACTTTCTTGCCTTCCTTTCCTTATGATTTATGAGCTATGCCATTGTCGGATTGTTTGGTAATGGAAGAACTTTGTAGTCTTCCTCAACAGCTTCCCATAGATCATTTGCCTCTAGGTGTGCCTCCATTCCGATTGCCCAGACATGATAATTGTCACCATTAAACACTGGTGGTGCTAGTGTGGTGAATGGTGTTTGAGAATCCATTTATTTAATGGATGGAAGCAAGGTGTTTAGGCCTTTTTTTTTGGTGAGGTTCACTCGGTTCACTCACAAGTCCCTTTAAGAAGACTGCTCTGATACCAATTTGTAGTAATTGTAGCTTAGTTAAACTTCACTAAAAACAAGAGAAAGAGAGCATATAAAAAATACAAGAAAATAGGAGAAAGTTATATTTTTATTAAAAAATGATCTGCTTAAATACAGTAGTATGCAACTAAAAACCAAAAATAAAATCAACAAACTTCTTAAACTTTAGCTACTAACATTAACAGCTAGTAGATAACAAAAAATCAAAATAAATCTCCTAAAGACTTGGTCAAAGAATATATAATGCACTGAATATCAGTTGTGGCCCTTAAAACTTGTTCTTAAAGACACCTGACTTTCAAACCTGAGCTTGCAGCCTCAGTTTCACATGTGCAACCACCTCTGCTAGCCATGTCAGAATCCATATCAGCAACTCTACAGCTAATGATGCACACATTCAACATGAGAGCTCATTGCAAGTAATATTCTAAAGACGTGTTATAGAAATATGCTTGAAAATCATAAATTACAACATCCTTATGTTATATTCTTATTTTATATCATGGCAGGTGTTCTATCACCAATATTGAGTGTTAGATTGCAACAACTATCAAGCAATTTGAAGTATTTGATTTCTTCAAGTCCTCAATTCAGACAAATGGAAGTTCATACCTTTGTTGAACCAAAACCCCTAGCTGTGGAATGGGAGACTGCAAATTCGTAAAATAAAAAAAAAGTTTGCAATGTTTTACAAAAAAATTTGTAATATATTTGAAACATGTCTTTTATGAAAAATATTAACACCAAAAAGGTTAGGTTGGAGTATTAAGGACACGACGACCTTCAATTGATCTATATACTAGAACTGGATGTTGGAATTCTAAACAATACAACGTATCTGTCTATTGGCATTTGAAGGGTTTTATTTTGGTAGCTAGGTAATATATATTTCACACATAGTTCATGTATGTAAGTGGTACATGGATCACCAACGGGTTTTTAGTCCAATAGTATTCCTTACCTTGTGAAGACTTTGCTTTCTTGAAGTCAAGGATTCAAGTCTCCCCTCCCCCCCCCCCACCCCCCCCCCACCCCCCCACCAAAAAAAAACATGGATATCACTCAAGAGTTATTCATATATGGAGTCTAAGAGTTGTTCATGAACCTATTTATTGTCTAGGTTTGTGTATTTGTCTAGATACATCATAGGATAGCCCTATAAATTGAACAAGTATTTGAGTCATTTTGTAAGTTTTTTTTTTTCACCGTTTCAGTTATTTATAAGAGAGAGTATTCAATCAAGAGCACAATTTCTCTTGATCATTTTATTTCTTTGATTCCACACTGGACTCGTGAATTTTAAGTCCACGAGAAAACATTTGAAATTGTCTTTTGTCACCCAATGGTTGGTAAGAGTTTTGAGGGTTCAATGGATTTGAAGCAAGTCCTCTAAAAAAAGATTAATACCAAAAAGGTTAGTCTGAAACGGGAAGGACACAATGACATCCAAATGATCTGGGTACCCAAAACTGAATTAGAATTGAACTCATGAGTTTTAAGCCCATGAGAAAACATTTGAAATCATCTTTTTGTCCCCCAATGGTTGGTAAGAGTTTTAAGGGCTCAAATCCTATTGCGAGTCTTCATACATTCTTTCCAAAACTCCAAATTGGATTCGCTGTCAGCCCATCCACCAAGCTAATTCATCACTGATCATTCCATAACACTAATTGGATTCCCCATCGGCCCATCCAAATTAATTCAAGACTCAGTTAGTAGACATTACACTGGTATGGTATGTAATGTAATTAGGAACGAATTTAAGTCCTTTCTAAAACCCCTCTTTGGATCTTAGGAACAAGAATTTAAAGTCCTTTATTACAACCTTTTGATCCCAAAAGTTATGGTCCATGTAACATTAAACTAATAGTGAATGGAGGAGTAAATATTTAATGGTGCACCTTGCCATCATTTTCACATATTTGAGTTAAATAGAGTGAAAAGAGTAGTGTTATATCTAATAATAAAACGTCACCTTTCTTTTTCACATGCTAGTTATTTTCTTATATAGATAGGATAGTTACTATATGTTCACTTGCTAGTGCCATTCTTACATTAAAAATTTCTGTTGAAACGAGACATTAAAATAGAAGTGGATGTAGTGTGAGGGTTTTGCTGATGAATATGTGATGAAATAAATTGTGAGAAATAGGTGACTTGCAACTGTAAGAGTGAGTTTGATAGCATTCTGAGTGATCTTCGTATGGCCTCCTGAAAATATAGATTTCTTTTGAATCAAACATTCCGACAGACTCAAAATTAGGATTCAATTACGTTCAGTTCAATTTAGTCACCGACCCTATTTATAATGTCATAAGTTTGAAAAAAAAATTATAAGGTCATATAAATTGGACAAAAGGTCGTGACCACATAAAAAAGACGTTCAAAATGACCATTCTCTCTCAAATAATAGATGGTTAAAAAAAAAACTTAGATGTATTATAAATAGATAACCCTCAGAAGACTTCTTCCATGTATATATACTGTGGCAATGAGCTGTGTCGTGTCACTTTGTATTATGTCGTAATTGTGTCATGTTAAAATTCATTCAATCCATACTCAATTCATTTATATTTGTGGTTAGTCTAGTTTGTGTCATTTATAAGTCACATTTAGCATATTCATGTCGTGTTTAGTCAGGTTGGTGTTGACTCATTTATATGACTAATCTAACCGGTGTACCTATTTACCACACAAATTCTTTAAAGTTCAACTCAAATTTGTTAATTCTGTATCCGTTTGATATCCTATTAATAGGTCGTGTCTAAGATTGATTTCATGTCGAATCAGCAGATCGTGACTAAAGTTGACAGGACTAATATTGGATTACGGCCAAGTGTTTGCACTCTCTCTTATTATGTTTAAGATATAAATTAATTCAATTAGTTTATTGTGAGATGAAGACCATGGTTTAGGGAACAAAGTATAATTAACCCTAGTTGTAGCAACAAACGAAAGACAATATGTATCTATTTCATTGGATTCAATTTTACTCTACCCTCTTAAGTCTTACTCCCTCAACTACTTAAATTGTTTCTATTGTCTCAAAATTATCATGTTTCACAGTTTAAGACAAAAAATATTCCACCGTGTGAGTAAAATATACATTTGGAATAACTATTACCTAGGCGATGTTAAACTAATAACTATAATTGAGAAGTGTAATGTGAGAAACTTATAATTGAGAGAACACTGCAAAACTAATAACATGACTAAGGGTCCAATGTGATAAACACAATCATTAAGGGATCAATATGAGACTAGAATATAATTGAGAGGACAAAAATGTAATTTGTCATAACATGACCGTGCAAATTTCAACGTTTCTGCCTCCTCACATGGCAGTACAAATTTCAACGTCTTCCTCTCTGGCCAGCCAAACCCACAAGCTTTGACTAAAAACTGCAAGTTGTCTATGGATGAACATGTTTGTTTAGTATTTGAGAAGAGAGAAGAAATCACAAAGGAACGGATTATTAATACATATTGAGAGAGAGAGAGAGAGAGAACAGGGGCCATGATGACGGGATCATTTCCGATGAACGGTGGGTATGGCACCTACAGCTACGCCAAGAACTCCCAATATCAGGTACTCCGATCCTTACTCCCAATGTGTAAATAGAGGTTTTATCTAGCTTCATGTAAGACGACAATGTTTTCTGGCACAAACTCCCTGTATTATATCGAAAATTATAAGTTTCGTGGGTTAAGCATAACCTTTTGGATTGTTCTTAGAATGTTTGGGTTGTATGTTGAAAAAACATTCCAAATTTTATATATCGGTGCGCCTAATACGGGCAAGCCGCATTTGCAACAGGAATGAAACATGTTGCCCATCATCACTGCCTACTTTTTTGCTATTTATATATGCTTGGTGATGATACACAAAATATATTTATATATTATCTATTAAGTATTTAATACAGTAATTAAGAAGGAGACTTAACATAAGTAAATACAAATTAAATAGTTCGGTTAAGATGACCCACTCCGCTATGGAGGGCTATGGTGGCCTGAGTGTTTTATTGCTCAAGAAGTGTAGAGTGTTGTGAGTGATGTCCTCTTGTGTAGGTTGGACTTACAATTTATAAGTGGCTCCTAAAAGATTGAGGCACCATTCTTGTAACAGTTGATGCAATTCGGTGGAGGTGGCGCTATTTTCGTGCGCACCAGATGATTGTGTCCCACGGAGATTTTCTTGTGTGTCAGTTGTAGATTGAGTCTCTCAAAATGGCGAGGTTGACCCGACTGAACTTCCTTGATCCTATAGTGGGCTTGACCTGTATATTTGAACTGAATCCAGTCTGCATTTTTAAACTGGATCTCTGAGCTGGGCCTAGTCTAGGTCAGACCATCACTAGCCATTTTTAACTTTACTAAGCATTTAATGGATTAGGTGTTCATTTTGACTTTGCATACAAGCATTTAACAACACCTACCTTACTTCATTTGTATAAAATTCAATGATATTATTGTCTAAATATTAGGGATTGAGCCACAATTTTCTATTTGATGATCTTCCATGCTATGTTTCCAAACTACAAGATCTTTACGTTGCACATCATTCATGTTGACCAAGATGTGTTTATTTTGATTATTTGTAGAGAGAAGCTTCAAACGTTGTGAAGGAAATGATCAACAAGGCAATTACCGAGAAGTTTGATGTAAAAAACAAGATTGCTACTTCAAGAACAATTCGTATTGCGGACTTGGGATGTTCAGGTGGACCAAATACCTTTATTGCTATGCAAAATGTGATAGCAAAACAAGATTTCTACTTCAAGAACAATTCGTATTGCGGACTTGGGATGTTCAGTTGGACCAAATACCTTTATTGCTATGCAAAATGTGATAGCAGTTGTGGAAAAGAAGTACTACTCCCAAGTCTTACCTTCGGAGAAGCTTGAATTCCAAGTGTTTTTTAATGATCATATTTCCAATGATTTCAATACCCTCTTCACCTCCCTCCCTGTTGATAGGCAATACTTTGTCACTGGAGTGCCAGGTTCTTTCTATGAGTTGTTATTTCCCTCGTCATCTCTCCATTTTGTGCACTCGGCTTATGCACTTCACTGGCTCTCTAAGGTCCCAGAAAAATTGCTAGACAAAAACTCTCCTGCATGGAATAAGGGAAAGATTCACTATATAGGTGCCTCAGATGAAGTAAGGAATGCTTACGCAGCTCAATTCGAAAAAGACATGGAGAACTTTCTAAATGCTAGATCTAAAGAAATAATTGCTGGAGGAATGATGGTACTCATTATGGTAGGTCTCCTAGATGATTTTCAACCTTCTGAGACCTCAACTGGCGTGACATTTAATTTCCTTGAATCCAGCCTCATGGATATGGTGAATGGGGTGAGTCATTGATCGCTACTTATCACTACTTGTCGGACTAGATTGATAATAGTCGACACCTTGAACCTTATCATTCTGCATAAATATGTATTTTGTTGGATTACAGGGACTTATCAATGGAGCTCAAGTGGACTTGTTTAACTTTCCTATATATGTTGCCTGTCCCAAGGAGATGACTATGCTGATATAAAGAAATGGGAGTTTTAGCATTGAGAAAATGAAGTTGACAGAGCCTAGGTCAAAGTTTGATGCCCCAATTAATGTGCAATCTGTGATAATGCTCCTTAGAGCTTCCATGGAAGGAGTTTTCGCCCAACACTTTGGATCTAAAATTATTGATGAACTTTTTGAACGGGCATCTCAGAAATGTGTGGAGATTTTCCACCGCCTGGAGTCAGGCAACAAGCAAGGTACTCAATTATTTGTTGTTTTGAAGCGTAAATGATATGAGTTGAAGATGTTCTCAGTCTCCCCAAACCTCTCCCAAAGTTTGCTTGTGTGTTTTATGGGGGAATAGTTTTGTAATGTTAAAGATATATAACTCAAAATACGTTGATTTAAACACAAATTAATATTGTATCTTGATGATAATGGATTTAAGTCTGGGCCTTCTCTAAAGCCCAAAATTCTCTAGGCTCACAGAAGGTGGCCCAAGCATTCCATCTAGACAACATACAATGGGCTCGAACTAGACCACGACCTAGTTCCATAAATTAAGGCCCAATGCAAATGAGCTTGAAATAAGTGTCAGCTCAACGTTAATGAGCCCAATATAGGTACTAGCTCGAAAAATGAGAACACGACACCAGGCCAGTTTGCAAGAGTTGCAACGTTACAAGTGGACAAGAAATAAGGGGACATAATCTGACAACTCTGGTGAACGAAATCCCACCGGTATTGAAGATGACTCATGTATTGCAGCCGGAGAGTAGTGGGTGCAGAGAGGCGTCAGGTACCATAACTCCAACAACGAGAGAATCATAGAGGGAACCATAGAATCAGCAATAAAAGATCAACACGAAACCCTAACTATCAAATGTTTAAATACAGAGAGAGGTAATTCAGAAAAATTACCCAGAAATAACCTAGGCAATATCATATATAGGCTTTAAGTCAAACACCTTGTAATAACAGTTTTCTTTCCTAAGCAACACAATTCAAAATGAGCAAGAGCCTTCTTTACAATAGATATAAACTTAATTTTTCAGCTAAGACAAACCACTCATACTGTTGTTTTCATCTTGCATCATACACACATACATATATGCTCATATATACATACACATTCGCTGGGCCACATATCTCAAGTTGTTCTGTAGTCTGATCCAGTCGATTTCGAGCACCACCATATCTGATCTATTTGTCTCGATACTTCCAATTAATCGAGACTTGAATTAAATGATGACCTCTAATCATATTTATGCTAGTGAGACAAAGATTATAATTTGAAAAATGGAAATTTGTTCTAAGAAAGCGTTAGTGAAGCATGATGGCTGTATAAGTTATTCCAATAATATAGGGAAAATACTACATAATTCAAATGAAACCTAAAAAATTAAAACCTTAAATTTATATCATCCATTGGATGAGTGTGGAATAAGTGAGCTCCACTATAAAAATTGATATAACTCACTCATCTAAAAAATGATATGAATTTAAATTGTAACTTTTTAGATTTTATTTGAATTTTATAGCATTCCTCATAATATAGAACTTAGAAATCCCCAAAGCAAAACAGACAAATAGAACTAAAGGACGATTTTTAGGATTTTTCAAACATGCAAAGCCAGCTCAGAGTTCTATCAATTTATATACAACATACATGTCTACGTTTCATTTTTAATTTTCATTATGTTTATCAAATTTAATTCGGTCTCATTAGATTCTTAAATTAGGTTTCTTAGTATTGCGTATAAATCCATCACATCTCTCGAAGAATGAACCAATAAAGTTGTCATAACACAGTTTTTATCATTATATAATAAATTAGAGATCCAAAACTAATCGTGTGAAATAAGAAATAATAATGTTAAGCAACAGATAAAATACCGAATATAAGATGTTATTACAAATTTCAACATCTGTTGTCAAACAAACCCATCAATATAAATATATGCATCCGATGTAGTATTGGGCATAAGGAAAAGAAAATCAATTCATAGAGAGAGGGCCACGATGGCGGAATCATTTCCGATGAATGGTGGAGATGGCACCTACAACTACACTAAGAACTCCCAATATCAGGTACTCCACTATGTTGGTAATATAGACCAAAAAAAAAACCTATGCTTGTAATACATGTTTTTTGCCTCTCTCTCTCTCTCTCTCCCCTGTAAAGACCTATAATAGGTAGCATGATAGATCTATCACGTTTTAGAAGTGAGTAATCCTATTTAGAGCTAAAAATCAAAAGTTAGTGTCTATTGAGTGGACGCTTGGGTTTAGCTTTTGAACTCCTGTAATTCCACTGGTTGAATTTGATTACTTTTGTGTTTTTTCTGTCATCTTGTCTTAAACCAAAAAAATAAAATAAAGGACGAATGACACTTTACACTTCGAAATATCTTTAAATTTTCAATTTACACCCTTGAATAACAAAATTCTGACATTGGACACTCAATCAAAGACAAAAGTAACAATATTGTCTGTTTTTAATAAAACTGTGCAAAAGTTTCATGTAAAATACTTTTGATATTAAGCAATACCAATAGTTGTGTATAAAAATAAGATTCATTTTGCTATTCTATGTCGAGAAATCAATCTATAAATAAGTAGTTTGATAGGGTGGTGGGATTTGTGCTGCCCTTTTGCATCACAAGTACTCAATGAATGCTTATTTTCTTTCTATGTGCTTAGCAATTATCAAAAGCTATAAGATATTCCTGCCCATTTATTAGAGATTAAACCACAATTTTGTCTTTGTGGTTTGCCAAGAAGAGTCGAGTTTTCTGCACTAGAGAATGGTTGAGTGCACGTCATCCATGATGATAGTAACAATTACTAGCAATGAAATCAATTTATGTTTGGCTTGTGTTCAGAGAGAAGCTTCAAACATTGTAAAGGAAATAATCGATGAGGCAATTGCTGAGACGCTTGATGTGAAAAGCCTGACTTCTACTTCACCAACATTTCGTATTGCAGACTTGGGATGTTCAGTAGGACCAAAGACCTTTATTTCCATGCAAAATGTGATAGCAGCTGTGGAAAATAAATATTATTCCCAATGCCTACCTACCTAAAAGATTGAATTCCAAGTGTTTTTCAATAATCACGTTTCCAATGATTTCAACACCCTCTTCGCCTCCCTCCCCCCGATAGGCAATACTTTGCCGCAGGAGTGCCAGATTCTTTCTATGAGTTAATATTCCCCTCTTCCTCTCTACATTTTGTGCACTCTGCTTCTGCATTACAATGGCTCTCTAAGGTGCCTGAAAAGTTACTCGACAAAAACTCTCCTGCATGGAACAAAGGAAGGATTCACTACACGGGTGCCTCGGATGACGTAGTCCATGCTTATACCACTGAATTTGAAAAGGACATGGAGATATTTCTGAATACTAGAGGTAAAGAAATTGTTGATGGAGGAATGATGGTACTCGTCATTCCAGGTATCCCAGATGATATTAATCATTCTGATCTCCCAGCCGGTGTGTTATTTGATTTTCTTGGATATGGTGAATGCGATGAGTCAATCGTTAGTTATTCATATTTAAGCCATTAAAGTTAGAAGTTAACTATTTGAGATCACTTACACAAAACAAAAATTTAAAGTAACGTTTAGGGAAGGAACATAATTTTTTCTTAAAATAGTATTCAAGATTGATTATCAAGGGAGAAAGGGAGAAAATTAGGAATTGTTTTAGTAAAACTCGGGAAATATATCCAATACTATTCAAGACAAATGTTGTTGTAGTTAAAACATTATGAATAATCTTAAAGGTACTGATCATATAAAGTATGAGTATATAATCCCTTGGGGTTCTGTTGTTTTATGAGAAATTTCAAGATTCTAGGCGTCAATATCTTTCACTTCTTGTGGGACTAAAGTGATTACAGTTTCCACCCTACATTACATCCCAATCATTCTCTTTCTGGACATATATGTATTGCAATAGCCAATTGTGACTCGATCTCAAAACAAATTTGATGATAACTAGTTTACTATTTGGGACCGCTTACACAAAACAAATGTAAGTTATGCTTAGGACACGAAGAAAAAATGTAAGTGGTGCTTTATTTTATCTTCAAAAAGTATTTATGATGATCTAGGGTAAAAGGGGGGTATTAGGAAATATCTACAATAGAATTTATGGAGTATATACAAAACTATTCAACAAGAAGAAAAGCAATGGTAATGGTTGCTCTCTCTCTCTCTCGTGGAATGTTATCTTCAACATTCTCATTTTGGATGTTGCCTTGGCGAATTTTAATATAGGGAATCATCGATGAAGCTCAAGTGGACTCGTTTAACTTGCCTATTTATGCTGCCTCCCCCAAGGAGATGTCTAGGCTGGTAGAAAGAAATGGGAATTTCACCATTGAGAAAATAGAATTAACAGACCCCAGATCGAAGATTGATGCGCCAATTAATGTGCAAGCTTTGATAATGCACCTAAGAGCTGCCATGGAAGGAATGTTCTCCCAACACTTTGGACGAGACGTTGTTGATGAACTATTTGAACGGACTTCTCAAAAATGTGTAGAGATTTCAGACCGGCTGCAATCAACTTACATGAAAGGGACACAATTATTTATCGTTTTGAAGTGTAAATGATGTGACGTGAAGATGATATTGGCTTCCTCATCTTAAAGTTTGTGTGTGTTACAATCAATTTTAAACACATACAGACATGTCCTCTTGATGAAAAATTTATCAAATATCATATTATGCTTAGTTATAAAGGATTATTTTTTGTTTGATGATGCATAAAAGAAGAAAGTTAAGGACGTTTTAGATTGGATGCTAACAAACACCAAAATAATGCTACGATATCTCACACTAGCAAATGATTTATAGTAAACTTGTCTTACACCATGGTATGCTAATTGATGAGTTTGGTCAATGTGTTACTAAAGTTTAGTTGGTAAGGCACACATAGAAAAATACAAATTGGGAACCTTGCCAATATATGAGCCCGTGGGACTCGTCGCTTACTGATACTTTTATGTTGATATGCATGTTTTGGGTGAGGGGCAGGGAGGGTTGGTTTGGAGAGGGATGGAGTGTAGGAGAGAGAGTTCAAAAGGAAAGGTGGAGAGCAAGCAGTAGAGGGGATTTGGTGCTGCATGAAGGTAATCTAGCAAGTTTCTCTTTAATTTTCATTTCTTCGATTAAAATACAGTAATAGTTACTAAAATATGCAATTTGTGTAACTTTGGTTCAAAGAAAAACGAGATGAAGGATTGAGAATGCGTTAAGGTAATCTAGCAACGTGCCTTTTTCCCTTTTTTCATTGAAAAATAATTATAGCTCCTAAAGTGTAAGACCCCGTTTATTTATTTTTTTAAATTTATAATAGAGTATTAAGTATGATAATGAGCCTGTTAAATTGTTGTTATGAAATTCATTAAAGAATTGATATTATAGAAGTAATTGAGACCATTGGGTGACTAAATCGTTTTGAAGTAATACCGCTTAAAAGAAATTGAGTAAATGAAATTCTAAAGATCTTTAACAGACAATAACATCATAAACGGATTTCAGAGCATCGAAACATCTTAGAGAAATGATATGGGAGGTATTAGAACATGAAAATACCAAAAACAACACAAAATAGGATTTGGACTGAAAATTAAGTCCATCAAGACGCATCTTAGGACAGTGAGGCAGAGAGTTAGAGGTGTCCGAACATAAGGTCCACTTTTGGACGCGCATGAGAAATTTTGGACAGAGAATTGGGATCATCTGAACGCAAGAATTCTGTTCAGGCACATGTATTTTAATTTGGGTAGTAAGTTGACTTCATTTGAACGCAAGCTTTGCATTCCTATGATTTTAAAAGATAATTAATTAAATCTCGTCTGTTTTTTAAAAATAAGGCATAACAGAGTTAGTATCAGAACTTAAAAATTAAGTCTTATATGAGAGTCGTAGATTTTGAGTTACCCAATGTGAGTAGTAGGTATAAGATGGAAAAGACCTTAGACTTAAATCTTCTGATAATTATGTTGCTGATAGGATAAGTACTAGTTGGTGTTTATATACATAAAAGATAATGTCACAATTAGTATGTTTTTTACCAATTAAATCAAATCAAGTCCAATGAGATAAAAATATTAAAACTCATTTAAATTACAATAATATGCTTAAAAAAAGTGTGATAATACTTATCTAAATCAATAGAATAATGCGATTTAGACGCCTCGGGATTGAGGGTTGGGGACCATCAAACACCACATGCTCATAACTTTTCTCCAATCAGCTATCTTACTCGGTATCCCTTTTCCCACATGCATGCATGCGTCCTCACATGGAGAGGCGCACGCCAAACAATACGAACAGCAATATGGTATCAAACCATTTGGATTTGGTGTTTGCTGTGCAGTAATTAATGTTAGTTGTCATTAAAAATTGTCTCTTACGGAAGCGGTGACCTAATAGTTTGTTTGGAATTATCAGACAAGAACTTAAAAATCTCAAAGATGGAGTACCTCCAGGTTTTGCCTAGTCATCTACTGTTTTTTCCTTTGAAAACCATTTTCATTTTGAAATTTTTTTATTCTTGTAGAGTCATTGGTAATCTTAAGAAACAAACACAACAAGCGAACAACACTTATGGTTTAAATCAATGACACTACACTTATCAGAAATCTACATTTCATCCTCTTAACGTTTATAATAAATAATGTAACAGCTAACAAAGTTAAAACTTATTATGCGGGTAGTACCAATCTACTTTAGTATATCATATGGAAGTAAAAGAACTTATAATTGAGGAATTATAAAACAACTCTTCTCCTTTTCTATTTACCCAGTTCATTTCTTTGTCTTGCGTGCACAAAGGAGATTTAATATTAAACAATTATATCCTTTATTTTAAAATTTTTATCCCAAAAAGATTTTACTAGTTGAAAAAATATACTAAAATTCATGGAAAAAGAAGGGACATATATCAAATATTTTTTTTTATTTTAGGGAACCAAAAAAGAGTTGGCCTACATATATAAACTCGTATTGACAATACAAAGTAGCCGTACTAGAAGGTGAGATTGGATTACCTCCTTTTTAGGGAGAGCTAATGCATGTTGGATATTTTAGTTTGACACAGCTTCACACTCAAAAAGAAGAGAGTTACGTCTAAGCGAAACTTGGAGATGAAAGTCTTCTTTCGTTTCTCGAAGGTGAAGTAAGACCAAGCTAATGACTTATTATTTTATATTGGAACAAGTTAATAGGATTCCCTTTTTTCAGCGAAAAAAAGGAAAGAAAGGGATGGAGTTTTCGTCGCTTTTGGCATAGCGAGCTCCTAGTGAGAGACTCACATGACGGGCCATTAGCTCGAGTGCGCCCTGATAATTGCACCAAAATTCTAACGATGATATATACACTTTACTCCAAAATTTTAACAGCAGGACGATGAAGCATGCCACGAAAAAAAAAAAAGTGATAGTACGACGTAAGTTTTCAAACCACAGGAACATAGAGTGTTTTTGAATTATATTATTAAGGAATTAAAAAATAATATATACTAAGAATCTGAGATCATGTCAAGGCCCAGACAACTGAAAAACCCACCAGAGCCAACTTCAAAACTTGGACACCAAAACCACCCATTATAACAGCCAAGAGAGGGATTTTTTTATGACTTTGTTTTTCCGTAGGATCATTAGGAGCCGTACCAAGTAGCCCACCATGTTAAACAAGTAACAAGACTGCTCACCTTATCACTAGCATCCTGCAGAAGAAGTTAATCTTCATATTAAACAATAAGTACCACTTGCCTGCCAGCTACTCAGTGAGCATTCCGAAAGAACTGGTAAATTTATTTTTTTTGGAAACCTCGACCGTATGAGGTAGATTTATTAATTAAAAATTAAATTACACTTAGTCAGAAGAACGTTTGTACCTTACCCTTCAATGCAATCTAATTACAAAAGGTCAAAATGAAGATAATATGCATGCTTAGTATAGATCACAAAATTAAAATTAAATAAGCATTAATCATACTACCTATAAATAACATAAGGACTGCTAATAAAATCATGAACTCATTAAAGTTGCAAGAATAACAACGTTAATGAGCAATAAAGAGAGCTGAGCAGTCCATATTCGCAGCTGGGATGAGCTGATAGCAGAGCTGGAAAACCATTTGCTGAACTGGACTGATGGAGCAGCTGAACAGTCACATGAACAGTGTGAACAGTGACTGTTCCAGCTGCTGCAGTCAGTTAAGGGGCACAGCAGTTAAATGGGCAGCAAGCAACAGCTTAAGATGAAAGCAGCAGCTAGGAGGTTCCAATGGTGAGCTGAACCGGACGGTTGCAGCAGCTGAGCAGTCACGTAAACAGTCATGCCATTGGTAATAAGCCTCACTGAACAAAAGATGTAAAAGAAAAGTTATTATAGTTCTGTATGACAATATACTTTTTTCCTATACCTTATAAAATTGTAGGCTTAACCAATTAAACTTATAAAATGCTATTTATACTTAATTTTGAGAGATCATGACTAAATTAATCCAATAATTATAACGAATTAAATTTCAATAACATTACTCATTAAACTCAATCTAGTTGACAACTTCTGATTCTCTTTGAGCTATGACTAGGGGCTAGTCTTTACCAAAGGCAGAAATCGAAATGAATTACTCAGACTCGGCTTAGGATCGACTCGGATAAGATTCGACTCAAACTCAACTAGTGTTTTAAAGAAGCTGAACTTAAACAATTTTCTAGACCATTTTAGAAAAACGAGTCTTAAAGGCTCAGCTCAGTTCAAACTCGCAAAACTCGGTTATTTTGTATGCAAAATAGTCGAGCTACTCAAACTCGGCTCGGGTTTGGTCCAAGCTTGAGCTCAACTCGAAATTAAACAAGGCAAACTTAAACAATTTTTTAAACTCGTTTAGAAAAATGAGTTCGACATGCTCAGGTTCAAGCTTGCAAAATTTAGCTTGATTAACACCTATAATTTCAGGTGTTTTTTTCTCTTTTATCCTTACATTTGTGCATCGTCTTTTATTGGGTGTCGTTTCTACCTCGGATTTTCATTAACTCGGATTATCCTAGCTGCATGGATAGATACGTATTCTTGACCATTAATGTTAGCAACTTAAATCTGCTGTGGCATTATTATTTAAAAAAGATTCGGTGTGGCATAGTTATTTGAAGAAATCGAAAACAAAACTTGATCCGTGTGAATTGATTCGGATGATGCCTAAAATAAATTTCAAGTGTTAGCTCAGGAGTTCAGCTCAGATCGGGAGGTCAGATATATTAACTGAGGTCAAAAGGCAATGGCTGAATGTCTCTTGAGGCAAGGCAACGGCTGGATAACCACGAGAGGTTCCTAAAGCGTTAGGAAGCTATAATCAAGGCACCTAATCTCAACCAACTAAGATCTTCTCCTAGAATTAAGGAGAACCTCACGAAGTAAGGGCTAGAATCTCGGTCAGGATCCCCCTTAGCAGAGAATGACCTTATAAATGCAATGTAACGCCTCCTAACAAAGGGAGAACCCTAGAGGCAAAAAGGAAGTCATAGCAACCTTGTAATGACCGTGAATAAAACAAAAGGAGCAAGAGCCTCCATTCCAGAGTGGACTAGCCGAGCTCT